GGGATGCCTTTTTAAGAAGAGTTTGTATTTATGGGAGCCTTGTGGTGATTGAGCCCCGTATAGAGCCCCCATTGGAAATGGCCTAAGTATCACATATTAAAAGAAATTAAAACCAGAAAATCTCTACACTTTGTCTCTACACTTTGTTTAATTCTCTACACACCATCTGGATGCCTAACTGCCAGGTGATGAGCTGGTTTTGAATTCTCTAGATAACCCAGCATCAAAGTGTTGCCTCTGAACATAATCTCCCTCATTGATTTCCTATCAAATGCCACACTTTCCATTATTTAAATACTATTTATTCACTAAGTAAATAATAATTAAAATATAATTACTAATTAAAGTAATTAAAAAAAAATCCAGATTATACTTTTTTAAGGGTCTAGCCGCGCGGCTATACCTTAAAAATATTCTGTTTATAGAGTATAGCCGTGAGGCGATACTTTAAAATATTCTATTTATAGTGTATAGCCGTGCGACTACACTCTTTAAATTTATTGTATATATGCTCATGTTATAGGTTAAGAAGGTTAACAAAATGAGGCTCGCTAAGTACATTGAGGCAATGAGTGGTGTGAAGGTTTGGTCACAAGTTCTTACAACTTCTATCCTGTTCATCGTTTCTCTTTTGTCTAGGAGGTATGTTTAATAGATTACATTGAAATTTATCACTTTCAACTGCAGGTTAGTTTAGATGCAATGTTTGATGTGCAAACAAAGCGAACACACGAGTACAATAGACAACTGCTTAATATACTTGGCATTATCATCGATATGACTGTGTTAGGGTGAATCTGATTTTATATGGTGAAGAACTTTGCATTCCATATTTTTATAACTTATTAACAAAGAACTACCTTATACCTTCTAAAGGGAGCTATCACCATCCTCCAGCATTGTGCATACCTATTTCATCTTCTTCTCACAGTAATTTGTTGATTTTTCAATGAGATATGGATGTGGAGTTGGAGCTTTCTTTTCTTCTCATGTTTTTTCTTTTTTGGTAAGAAAAAATAAATAATGACACGGATGTCGGAGATCTTCTGAAGTTGGTAACAGAAATAATTTTGTATCCTTCCATGCAGTCTTCCTATCCGGTTTTGTACAAATATTGAGAGTTAAAATCTCTGGTTTTCACTCTACAACGTGTGATGATTCCTTTGCAGCACCGCAGGACATGAGGCCTCTGGACTGGAAGCATGAAATTTCTTATGAATGGATGTTTACTCTTAGCTACAGAAGATGGGTCTATACAATTGTTGAAGAAATAGGAGCAGACAACCTGGTAAATTTTATATAACGTTATACAAGCATACCACTGTGATGTGAATTGATAAACCTTCTCTAAAGATAGATGACGTGTGACTGAACATAACATGAGCTTCCGTAGAGAATGGAAAGGCCGAGCGAGATTTATGTAGCCAACTATAATGTAGTTGAATTCAGCTTAGCTGATTGTGATGTCAAGTATTGTCGACCAACTGAAATTTGCTTTTGCTGTAACTTCTGCAAGATGGAATCTGTGTATTGACTATTTCAAGATTTTAGATTGGTATATGGAAAGATATACTTGTTTATAGTATACAGAGATAATTCTCTTAGAATTTGCTTTCTCCCATTTTTGTTTGGGGGAAAGATTCATGAAGTTCCTAAATTGCATGAGGAAGTATCTCCTAAAATGCCACTGCAATGTGCACGTGTTATAAGGTATGCAATTACAGTCACTTCAATTAGTCATACTCACTTAGCCAATTAGTGATTGGGGTGACCAGTCTAGAATTTTCAGATTCTTTAGAGGGCATGTGTTTGGTGTCATTTTTTACCATTGTGTGGTGTTGTTCTGAGCAAACTGTTTCCTGCTTTGATATTTATCATGTGTAGGAGGGTCTGAGATGGCTATTTCGGCTTTAAAGACTATTTTGAATCTCTATGTGCATGATACTATGGACGGTGGTAAAGACTTCTATTTACTTGGTTCTGATTTTGAAAGCTATTTAGAGGCGCATGTAATTATTTCTGTTTACTTGGCAGGCCCAACTCAAAGCATATATATGCAGTTTGAGTTTGGTGTTGTACAATGCGTGGGATTTGACTCTATATGACTACAGGCTGCTGCTGATAAAGCATTTGCGGATCCAAATAAGCGGACTCAGATGAGCATCCTTAGCACAGCTGGGCCGAGGAGATTTAGCAACTATAGAACAATCCGAGACTACGTGGAGAAGACTTGGGAAATAGAACCATGCAGATTCCTTTCTGATGGCTAGCACACCCTCATCCACACCCCAGTAGCAACATTTTACAAATTTGAATCAATGGTCAATAAACTTTCTAATAACATATATGTTCCAGATAAGCAGCTGTGAGCTTGTGGCAATGAGAGGGTAATAAAGAGATAGACAAGCATCCGACGCCTATACACGTGCGAGTGTAGGTGATTGTGAGCCATCAATATTACATATATAGGATTACATGAGTTATGAAATTTACTTACATGGTGGATATTATTGTGTTAGCTCGCATGTATGAACCACCGATGGTAGCAATGCTATAATATGAGAGTGCTGATGAGTAGATTTTATATTATATATTTAACCCAATTCTTAGTATATTTTGGTTAATATTTTGAAAATTTTTTGATACTTTGAACTATATTTCCAATATAGAACTTTCGACTTCCTCTGGAGTAAAACATAATCAAATGGACGAATTTTGGAGTAATTCCAGTTGGAGGACGTTCGTGAGTCATTTAGCTTGATTGTATCAAAATTTCAGATGTTTCTACCAAGCGGTTATTTTCTGGAAATAAAATAAAGGAGCAGTGCGCGGTGCTGGAATAATGACGTTTTGGGCCTTTATTGCATTT